CGTTTCGTGATAGAGGATTTCGTGTGTTGGGCGACTGAGCTAGAGCTAGAATAGACAAATAAGCCGGGGGTGAGTCAAAAGGTAAGTGAGTCAATAAATATATAATTTATTAAATGCAATGATGAAATGGTGTAACAATAGGGGGGGCGGGCGAACGACGATCGCAAGATCGCCATGTGAGGGCGGACAAGAGGTAATATAACGCTGCCCCGCCCGACACCCCCGGATCGGAAATATAGATAAAATATTTTCGTTATTATTTACAATATTAGTTGAACGTTAGTCAATAAATAATAAACAGTGGCGTAATCCTTTATTTAATATAATTTAATAATGTAATATTACGTTTGCGATAATAAAAATATTACAAGAGATGGAGCCTTTACCATTATTCGTTTCCACTAAAAGTAGCACGAACTTGTTTAAATTATTGCAGCCACCGTTCGAAAGTTCACAGTTCCAGCGCGAGACGAGAATTCCCCTCGTACATACACCCCCAGTGCCGATCGCACGTTGTACGGTACGTGTCGACGATCGTGATATTCGTTGAAAAATCGCCCCATTCTCTCTCGACACGGAATCAGCCGACAAAGGGAATCGATCAGCTAGCCGTGAATTTTCGAACGTGATTAAACGTCGGCTGAATGTAAGATGTCGAAACAGCTGTCGAAACCATCAACCTTCCGGGATAGTCGCTCTTCGCGAAATCGAATGGGATTTAACAAATTAATTACATAATCGGCGTTACGCTTCCTCGATATCCGTGTAGAAAAACCGCATTGGACGGCGCGGTGAACGTCGGAGAAACGGCCACGCCGTCGGATTATCACAACGAAAGTTACGCGACATGCTTGGACGTTATTATCGAGTAAAATACCAGAGGGTCGAATACACCTCGATAAGACTAGAAATATGTTTATGTAACGCACACGGGCCAGGCAGGCAGCAAGCAGGTACAAAGTGACCGTCTTAATCAAGGAACAGTGAGTAGAACATGAGCTAGGCACCGATATCCGATCGTTTCGACCTTTTCGACATCGTGATACAAACGTCCTACTGGGATGACCCGTGATACACCAACATGACGTCAGAATCGAACGTTCGTCGCATCTTATGAAAAAAAAAAAAAAAAAAAAAAACGCGTATGGACATAGGACTTCTTTTGTTTTTTTTTTTT